CACCCTAGTCTAAATGCTTGAGCCAACAAAAGATTTACCATATTCTGGGACACTATTCTAGATATCGAAGGTAAAAATTCCAGAAGCAAATTTTACATGTATCTCAGTTTTTATCTTTGTAAAAAGAGGCCTAGAATTTATTTATTTAGCTCATGTACTACTCCATTTCGAAATACTCTACATAAAAACATAAAATTAAAACATAAATGTCAGTAGTATAAGTGTAACAGCAAGCAAGTTCTTTACTGTAAGTCCCCAATGCCTTTTTGTATAGTGACTTGTTTGCAGTTCTTTGATAATGTAATAGTCTGTGTATGAGAGAGAATGGTCCTAGAGATTGGGGAACCATCATTTAGAAGGCTCAAGCAAGAGTCCCTGCAAATGACATTCCTTCAGATTTGTAACTTTGAGCAAGAGAGGCAGTTTCAACATAGAAAAGATGGTCTGGGAAATATCCAGTCACTCATTTATATAGGGAACAACCCAGAGTTCTCATTCAAGGCTCAAATGACCAAACCTAAATTATCCTACTTTGTACACATTATGTGGAGGCATAACATCTCAAGGGAAGGTTCTAATGCTGGTGAAAGATGAAAAGAAAAAGAAGAAGATGACCAACAGCAGAATGGATGACCAGCATTATGACATCAGGGAGTGCACCATTGGAAAACCAGGTTAGAGAGAGATTGTCATGAAGAAAAGCAATCTATGTGGTCACTAAGAGTCAATACTGACTTGATGGCATATAATAAATAAATCCAAGCTATGTAAGTGATAACCAGCACCTTGCTTTTTTACCTAGAAACTGACTAGCACTAATGCAACATCTACAACTGGTGTACTTCTTTAATGTGGGAATGCATTCTGTGGGTTTCTATGGAGCCTACTTCTAACTGAATAGGTTTGGCTTCATAGCAAAGTGTCGCACAGGATGTGGAACAAGCAGGAAGCATTCCCTGTGCCAATTCAGCCTTTTGTAGTCAACAATCCAGAAGCAATACAAAGGGCAAATGTACAGTAATCATTTATTTATTTATTTCATTTATTTGTTCTATTTATATCCTGCTGCAATCCAAGCCGCTCTTAGCAATTTGCATGGTACAATATAGAAGTTAAAACACCCACAGTCTTAAAAATACAGTACCACAATTTAAAATAAACCCTGCAGTGAATCAAGAATCACAGGCAGAAATAACAGGAAGTTGGACATTCAGATAAAAGATGGCTAAAATTCACCTGTGCAATTAGACAGGTGCTTTAGAGCAGAATAGCTGAAACTGACTGATATTTGTAGTTGAAACTGGTAAATGCAGGGAAACTGTCAAATAAGTAGCAAAAGTTTAGTTTATTGTTCTCCATTTTCTGGAGAGTGCACCTGGAAAGGTGGGGGTCAGTGGTGGGTTTCAAAAATTGTTTGAACCTACTCTGTGGGTGTGGCCTCCTTTGTGGGACTGGCTTGCTGTCCATGTGACCAGATGGGAGTGGCTTGCCGCCCATGTGATGCTGACGACACTTGTCAGAACCACCTTAATTTACCTCACACACAGCACTGGCATGCATAAGAATATGATGTAAACTTGTTTTTTAAAAGGCATCTTTGGTTTGCGTTAAAACAACTTCAACACTCACAATGTTCTGATTGCACCACAAATGCAGTAGTCATCCTTACCTTTCACAGAGGCACTGAGTTTTATAAATATGAGCATGATAGTGTTGAATAATCATATCTAAGGACCAATGGTGGGTTTCAAAAATTTTGGGAACCTCTTCTGTAGGTGTGGTCTGCTTTCCGGGTCCACTGGTGGAACCTCTTCTAACCGGTTCGGTAGATTTGACGAACCGGTTCTACCGAATAGGTGCGAACTGGTAGGAACCCACCTCTGGTGGGGGTACTGCTTCAAAAGATAAATATCTCATGAATGCCATTTCAAAGTTGAGTAGGTACAGATTTATTCAAATACACCCTTTCTTGAAATACAGCTGGTTTGCTTTCCTCTATCTTCTTGAAAGTTTGGGAATAAATTAATTTCCCTTTGGGAAATAGGGCCTGGCTGACCTGAGGAGAAAGTAACAAGTATGAAAGGAACTCAGGAAAACAAAATATTAATGGACAGGACAAATGTAGGAGAGACATGGCTACAGTGAAGGCTATCTAATGACCGGAGGAATTCCTTCCCAACTCTGCTCACATCTACAATAGGTCAACTGGTCTAGTTTCCAAGATAATGGATTGACAAAGGCTTACAAAGATAGGAGGGAAGTAGAATGTCAAAACTGCCCTCATGCTTGAGCTTCACATCTGCTAGTTGCCAATCTGCCATGAATTATGAGAGGAAGCTGGTTGAGAGAGGGGAAGCTAACTACTCATCGTATCTTCCAGACACACCAGTTGAAGGTCAAAATGCTGGGAATGGAATGCAACAGCTTACCGACCAGCCTGCCAGTTCCCAAAACAATATATTCAAATATAATTGGATAATAAGGGACCAGGGAGAGGGAGAAACTGGTGAGGAACTGGACAGGGAAAGTTAACCGGGAAAAATTGGTGCGCAAACTTCAGTTCGGGTTTACTATATTGAAATCCACTTGGCCTTTAGTAAAGTAAATCTTTACTCGAGAGTCATTCTTACTTAAAGGACCAAGAGGTAGGAGGGGTCGTAGGACTGACATAGTATTAGTTTCAAGGAGGAAAATAATCCTTAGTCCAATATCCTTACTGATGACTCAAGGCTGTTGGATGCTTGAGCTGAGGACTGGATGAAGTCAGTGTAGTGCAATTAAGGGAAATGTTGAGAGTGTCAGAGAAAGTAGAGATAGGACTATAGAACAGCACATATGGGGAAAGGGAATTGTGTTTATAGAGCAGCCTACAACCCAAAGCAGTTATTGATCACAGATTTAAGTGGGGAAAATACTTTGCTTCCATCAGAAACACAACCATAAATCAAAATGGCGCTCTTAGACTTCAAAAACAATGTATTTTCTCTAGGGGTTGTATAATTGAATAATAACCTTATCTTTTTTTCACAAGTTATCTTAGCAATTTCACTTTTGAGATTTCTGTGTATTGTGTAAAGTTATATATCTAATTCCAAGGAACTGTGAAGACCATAAGCTTCCTGGGCAACATCAAATTCTACTAAGAATTCAGGTCAGGGACTCCTTCCTTGTTTCCTAGCAACTTAGGATAGTGGGGCTTTTTCTGTTTGAATGAAATCATTCAGCAACAGAGACCAGGATGATTTGCACGGCCTAAGGCAATATTTTGCATACACTTGGGAAGAAGCTCTGTAACATAACACATTCCTGCCTGTTTATAAGAAGAGAGCTCTGCCTTTTGAATCAGATTGAACCAACATTACTTCAGCCAGCCTCCTTTAACGTGAAGAATAGGATTAGGATTCGGCTTTTATTACTGCTTTGTTGGTTGTCAAGGTGAGGCATTTATCTTCAAACCATGTACTTTCCTAGTTACTGAATCTGGTAAATCAAAACTGTATTCAGGTAAAGACTTCCAAGTCCTATATGATCTAACTGAAGCAAAGATTTCTTGGTTACTAATGCAAACAATATAGAATGGGGCAAGCCTTTTTCTATTGTATTTAATTAGGAATAGTGTCAAATATTGCATATTCTTTCCATTTGTATAGTGTAGGAAACAGCCTTTACTTTTTTGTGATTAATCAGGATTGATGTAATTAAAAAAATATTTTGTTGGAGTGGTAGTATAATATATGCATGTGCCCTCCAAGAAAATTGATGCATTGTTGACTATGGTAATATTGTAAATAATCTGTAAATAATCTGCATACATTTTTAATGTTTTAAAATGTGATTTCTCTAGAATTGCAGCTTTTCAATATTATTTTGCTTATTTATAATTATGCAAGGCAGACTATGAATTTTCAATTGAAATGTCTAAAATTTCTTTGTGTTCATTACTTTTGTTTATGATCAACATTTTGTGAATTACGTATTGGAATCTTTGTTTAATTTCTTTAAATAAACGAGTGCTTATTCAGATAATAAAATCAAATCATACTTTGGCTAGATGCCCAGATCACATTATTCTGTAATTTTGTTTGTTTAGTTTTGGCTTAGCATGATATTGAAACCAGGTCTTGTTACTTGCATGTTATAGATGATGGTTTAACTTGATGTCTCTCCGATTTCCTGGAAAAACTCAAGCAGAAATCCCAGGATATTAGATAAAGTCTAAGATGTGAAACACATGGCTAAATAAAAAAAAACTTTATTGCATATTACAATGAAGTCATAAAGGAGTTGGTTGGCCTTTATTGCTTTTTCTTCCTGCCATTCATTGCAAACTGCTCATAGCCTTGAAATTGATTTGTTGTTAATCATTTATATAACTGATTTATCTTCTATTGTAAATACTGGCTGTTGTTTTGGTTCTTACTATATGAACCACACCTCTGTGGGAATCTATCAGATCTGCACTATAAAAGTCCAGATGATTGTGAGAGTTTTATGTATACTACTGTCTAGATTTTAGCTTCCCAAATTGAGTAGCCCTATTCTATAATGATTTGTTCAAAATATAATTAAATTAAATAATAGACATGGTGTATGAAAACAGCCTATGTTTTAGACTTCACAAGGAATTTTTGAGGGGAAAAATCTTTTGCAACATAGTTCTGAGAATTGTTAAATTGTGTATCTGCATTTCTGACGTGCTGTGTCAAATTAGAACATTTATCATTGCTACTATGGGAAGATTGAAGCTGTATATACTTATTGTAGAATACAAAAAATGTTCTGAATTCTGAAAATAGAATAGGTGTTGGGTTTGTTGAAAGGATAGCATCTTGCTAGCATTTGTAAATTTTATTTTAAATTAATATAAGAGGGTAGGTTTGATATGAAAGTTGGAAAATGCTCTACCCATAAAAGCGTTTAGGGCTCTAGGTAATATAATATTTGTTGAAAACAAAGAGAAAACAGTAGTTAGATTGATTTTTATATTTGCTTATCAACAGGGAATTCAAGGATACCATAGAATAGATGACCATGACTCCTCCCTTTTCTTGTGGATTGCTTTCATGGGCCTTAAATTCAGCGTGGTTCCTTGATCACAAATAAATAATCTTCACATAAAATTTTACAAGATTAAAAACCTAGCCTAATACTGCAGAAATTGTGCTAGTTCACTTAAGGTAAGTACTATCACCTTGTACTATTTCTTGCTATATTAGTATGAAATTTAGCCAATTGCTTTTTCTTTTCTCTTAATTCTGATAAGCCAGTGTGGATGATGGGTAATCAACATATCTTTACTACTTCTACTGGATCCTGTGTAAACTATCCCTGCCAATAATAATAATAACAATATTTCTAAATTAACAGAGTTGTAGGGCTCTTAATTATTTGAGTGTAAAGTCACTATACTGTCAGCTCTTGCTCTCCTTTTCAACAATTATATGGCCAGTGCAATAAAATGAGAGATATTATATTTACTCAGTTTACAACATGATCGATTCCTATAAAAATGGATTTAGTTATTAGAACATACATTGCTATTTAGTTAATTAAAAATCATTGATAATTTCTCCTAAATAACTAAATTCCTAATCATGAACTAACTATGACCTACCAGATCCTCTCCCTCATTGTGTATTAGAGTTATCAGCTTTACTCCGAGATGCATAACTAGAAATCTAAAGCTGAAAAGGTTCCATATGTTTCTGCTTAGAGGATCAGAATGAATTTTAGGTCATTTAATGAGCTAGCTCCAACAGTAAAAGCCAAAGATAACCTAGAAAGAATTTGAGAAGGACATCTACTTTAGCAAATGGCACTCTTTGGATGGATGGTCTTCAGGTGGAGGCACTGGTGGAAAAAGTAGGCAAGAAGCCAACTGTGCAGAAACAGCATCCATAGTCTTCATGATCTTTTTGATCAAATGTTAGACTGAGAACCTCTCAGAAAAGCATTTGAGTCTCACTGCTCCAGAAAAAAAACCTGGACTCTCTCAGTTGTACATGGTCCTCACCCTTTATTCCCAGAGCTTCTGAAACTGAGGCACAGAGATAGACATGGTTTTCTGGAGCAGCTGACTACTTCAGTGCCTTTTTCAACCTTCAGAAGACTGTGAAGGACATAGTGATGTGATTCCAATGTATTGTTTGAGGCCTCACCTCATGCCTGTGTTCTGCAATTGTTTCCGTACCAGTCTACCATAAACCCTGGGAGGAGGGTGAGAGGGGGGAGAGTGAAAGTTAAGAAAGTGAAGGTGCCTGCCAAGACGGTATTTCAATGTCACTCTGCGATGAGAGGAATGCAGCTGCAAGCCAGCCTACAATCAGAGCGTCCATTTCCAAAATATCTTCTTTGAAATTGATTGGACAGAGGGGGACCAGCAATGGGAAGTGCTTAAGTGGGAAAAAGGTTTCACTTGGGGTTTGGCACACAAATTTCAGTTCCGGCTTTGCACTTTTGTATTTCACCTGGCTTCTACCTTTCTCATCCTGATGGTGTTAAGGATTGTTTTTACTTAGAAGCCTAAGGTGAGGCAGGTCTGACATTTGGAGAAAAAGTGTTAGTGGGAACTCAAATTGCTTTCAGTAAATGCTTCCATGACATAGAGGTTTTACTTGCATGAGTGGGGAAGCATTAAGAGAGAGAAATTGGGCTGTCTCTACTTATATGTGTTTGTTTATAAAATTAATTCAGTGATGAGCATTGTTTCAGCATCATGATGCAACAAAAATTAAATTAAATTCTAAGATTTTTGTGATTGCAAGTAATCCTTGAAATACATGCAATTTTCATGAGTAAAGGTGTTTAAAAATGTTGCCAGATAAGAAGCCTTACTTCTTAGTATCTCCTGCACTGAAGATGTTACCTACTATGATAATAACAAATTAGCTTATTAATTTTTTATTTACTTATAATAAACAAATTTATTAAAATAAACAGTGTCAAAGCAAAATTTTATATATTGATATTCCCTCAAAATAACATGAAAAGATTACAAACAATCAATTTTTGTGAGTTCAAAATTTATTCTATACCACATTTTATCACATACTATTTCTTAAGCTGCACAAAACAAAACAACTGGTGTATTCCTCCTATCCTCTGTAATATATTTGTATTATATTTTTATATGCATCATTGTCTTTCCCTTGTAATTTTTCATGGCAATTGTAACTCAAAGAGAATATTGAGTAATATTTTTTGAAATCAATTGCATTATATTTGGTTTCTGGTGGGGAAAATGATAATATCTTTTAAGTTGGATATTGGTAAATTGTTAAAATAATAAAACTTGGACAATAGCATACTGTATTCTCATAAGTACAGGCAAAAATGGCACATTTGTGTCAGACCTGCCACAGACTTAAATCTCTAAGTAGAAAACAATCCTTGACTCCATTTGCTGAGAAAGCTATATTTTTACTAGAAGTCAAGTGTATTGCAGTAATGCATAGCCAGAACCGAGATCCACATACCAAAATCCCTATGTTATACTTTCCCCTCCTCAACTGTCTTTCATTTCTCAAAGTAACCAATTAAAATCTTGCAAGCTGTTTTCCTAATGGTCAATTCAGTGTGTTCTGGTATGCCACTCCCTCCTTCCAGCAGGGGACAGCTGGAAGCAGCATCTCAAGAAGACATAGCACCTACTTTCAATTTCCCAAACATCCCCCCCCTTCATCTTCCTTCTCCATAGTTAACAGGAGAGTGTCATCACATATCAGTGAAGCAAGCATGGGGAGGCAGCTGACAGTGTGTCCATATAATCCCTTCTCTTGCTTGGCTATTTAAATGTCAGATGCTTGTTAATGGACAGGAAGCCCAAGTAGAATTCAAGCATCACCTATCTGGTGACACATCAGCCTAGGTACAAGGCTAATTTTTTTTTGCCTCCATTCACCAATGGAGGAATTGGTTGTTATGGAATTTGGAATGAGCATTTGGGATTGTTGGAAAAGGGCACTAAGATTCCAGATTACAGTATGTTAGTTCTTGAAGATATTGGTGTTAAATTGATCTTCCATAGACAGAAGAAATACTCCTAGCACTATCCATGCTTGTCTCTCATCTACTAATCGTATATCTCTGGAAATTAAAAGTCAGTTATGAAGGATTGATTATAAAGCTCAAAATGCATTGATAGTAATTTGCTTTTGTTTTCTGAAAATGGTACTTTTTGTTGGTTAACTTTTATTAGTATCAGGCAGTTGGGTACATTGTAATCTCTTTGAAATAAAAGTGATCCTTAGTCTCATTGGCACCCAATGTGTAGAAAATTTATTGGATTTAGATGTGTTTAATAGAGATTTAATTAAATATTTTACAGAATGAATTTAAACAAGAAAAAATAAATGACATGAAAAAAGAATGAAAGGGCAGAATAAAAATAGGTGCGAATAACATTTTAAAATTTTATAAATAAAATAAAGAAGGTACCTAACATGTCATAAAATTCAAATTCATAATGAATAAGTATTTCTAAAATTTTAAAAGTACATCACTTTTTGAACAAAAAAAAATAAAATCACTTTCAAATAAAGATGTCTGTGTTTTCAAATTTCATACAAAATGGACTATAGTATCTTTTAAGAGTTCAGCAAAAGAGGCACTTTTCATCTTAGATGATTATATAATATTTTTCTGAAGAATTAAATCAACAACAATCAATAGGTAAAAATAAGTATATTTCCTATGTGCTGTTTTTAATTTTTTTAAATTTAAAACATTTTTTAAAAGATCACATATTTAATTGGTATGTATTAATTTAAAAGTTTTATACAGCTGCCCATCTTATAACCAACTTTGGACAGCTACCAATTAAAACAAGGTACAAATCATATTTAAATTATAAATCTAGCTATATTAAAATATTGAAAACAATAAAAACCTGGTGCCAAGTTAAATTTCAGATAATGCAGTTATCTAATCTTAGCTGAGGACCTGGGGAAAAAGCCAGCTCTTCAGTGTTTTATGAAGGTTAAGAGGGGAGAGACCTCCTGAACTTAATGGGGCAGAATGTTTTGGAGATTCACAATCATCCAGGTCATAGTTGTCCCAAAGATGCTTTTCAAAAGGCAGCTGGACTTTCTTGGTTATTTTTTTAAAAAAAATTCACTTCTCATCCAAGAAACTTCTTCAATACTCACTTCTTCAAGAACTGAAGAAGCTTCTTGGATGAGAAACAAATCATTTTCAAGGCGGGGGGGGGGACCTCCAAGTAATTGAAATGGGACATTCATGGGCCGACTGTTCCATAGGGCAGGGTTTGCCACAGAAATGGCACATTTCCTAGCTCCCATCTTATGGCAATATTTAGGGTAAGATTAGGAGCATGCCCATCATAACTGACTTGGTAGGATGGGTAGGTATCCTTAGGGAAAGATGGCCCCATAAATAATGTGGCTCTGTGTCATATAGGGATTTAAAGGTAAGAAACATCAGCTTGATTTGCACCCAGAAAAAGGAAGCCAGTGCAGCTTGCACTGCAATGATGCTACATGTGCAAACCTAGGGGCCTTCATTACTATGCATTCTGGAGCAGTTGAAATTTCCAGGTGGTCTTGATTTAAATATATATACTGTATTTCTTACTTAATAGAACCAAGTTTGCTGTACAGTTTAACAACAGAGGAAATAGAATGCCACTTAGAATAGGATTTCAAGCAGTTCCAGTGAGAGAAGAGAGCGCTTTCATAGCATCATAAGAATGCTATATGAATATTTTAGCATTATGTTCCATGTTAATAAACTCCAGCTTGCTCAGCTTTGTGTTAGATCCTTGGGGATTACGTCAGATGAGGAAATGTGTTTATAACATAGTGGTTATTGTTAATGTCAGATAAGCTTGGCTGCTGCCTAGAATTATTACAGCAAGTTGAGATTGTTTTCTTTTTATTGATAATGTCTCCCAGGGAATTTAGTAATGTCTGTCGGAGGACAGGGAGATTTTACCTGCTACAGTACCCTCATTTAGTCAAAAGGTATCTTCTCTTCAAAGAATATCTAAGCTCTTTTATATTCCAATTCCAATTGGTAATTAACAATAACCTAAATGTGAAACACCCCGATGCACACCCCAATATTTCCATAGATGAAGAATAAAAAATAACGTGCAGTAATTTTTTCAAAAAGCAACTTTGCTGAAAAACATTAAGCAATAAAGAAATAAATAAAAAGAAATAAAAAGCAGTAAAATAGTAAAAATAATAAAAACCTTGAAAAATAAACAATGAAAATATTCAATAAAAGAGAAAGAAGCAAGAAAAATCATCCCACCAGACATTTAAGGGAAAGTTTAATCCTTTTTTGTCATGCATCATTAAAAAGCTTATATTTGCAAAAAGTCTGTGGAAGCATCTCTGGAAAAATAATAATTTTCTTGCTGTTCCTCCAAAGCCTCTACTTGCTAAATAAATGCAGGATATGGTTCTGTTTGTAGATCTTTAAAGTCTGCTGAGAATGCTGAACATTGTGTATCATCTTTGAAAGTCAGTTCAGAGTTGTATTCCTTTCTTCTTTCTTGGCATGACCATGTAACCTGTTGCTAGGATGGCTAAAGTGAAGGCTCATTAGTAGCACTGTCAAGATAAATTACAAGTTAGACATTTGAAATATATTGTATACTGGTTCTAATTATTATTATTTTAATTGTAATATTTGAGGCTATGCTGTTCCTTGCTTTTTGACCATACTCCAGAGCCTGAAATTCATCACTTTAACTTATTGTTCTTCTTTATACAATTATTTAAATATTCATAACTGTAGGGACTGGACAATAGCACATTCTTAGCTCCTTGTTTAAATTTTAAAGAGAAATTAATATCCAAACTATAGCCTTAATAAATGGGCATAGATGATAACACAAAAATTTCATCATGCCAACTAAAATAGCCAGTGTGTTAAATATGAATTTTCTACCACTCATCTCACTTTCCAAACACTTCCAGGGAACATCATATGTTTGTCCTTAATTCCTTCTAACCCTAAATAAAGTAGCTGGACTTTTTTCATAGAAAGGAGCTGTTCCTCTAACTGGAAAATATTGAGAGATGCAAGGAAAAACGTACTGTATCTGTCTGATGCAAGACCAGAAAATGAATCCATGTGAAACAGAATTTAACTTTTACATCTTATAAAATGACATAATGTATTCATTTCCCTCTCCATGAAGTATACATAGTAACTGCATAGTAGCCTACTTCATCTAAAATCTTACAAAATGGAAGGCAGAATCAATGAAAACTGCATAAAATGTCCTGAGAAGATGTAGAATAAATGTATTTGAACTTTGGTCAGAAACGAGCAAAGACACTTGGGAGATTTTCAAACTTCACCAGAGTCTTGCAACCCCTAATAAAATGGTCAACAAACTTGCAGGTAGTCTATAAAATCAAAACACATGAGTGTGTTTTGCAACACTTTTAGTTAGAAATTGGCATTTACTTCTGGTTTCCAGCAAAAACCTCCCATGGGTTTGCTTAATAATTGTGGATTTGCTTGATGACCATGGTGATTTTCTTTACAACTGCTGAAGAACATGTTGTAAAATTGGGTTGGTCACATACCACAGTCACGCTATCAGGGAGATTGGCTGCATATAAATTTAATAAACAAATAAATACATATGACCTGTTTAATGATCGACACAGCTTATGCCCATAATTTCAGCTCAATGATCATCATAAATCAAGTCCCTAAAGTGCTTCCTCCCCCTCCCCCCCCAAAAAGGCAACCGGACTTTGGAAAAAAACATGACCTGGATGACTGAGAATCTCCATGGTCATCAATCAAGGACTGCCTGTATTAAATTTTGGAAGGACCCTGAGAGGTAGCAAATAAACAAAGCAAGCAGTTTCTCAATCATTTTTAAGCAATGATATACTTCAAGGAATCAATTAGTTTGTATGTTAAAATGTTCAGCTATGAAAACACTTGGTGTAAATTACTTTAACTAAGCAATATTTTATTAAAATACTACCATATTGACACATTTATAATAATCCTTTTTTCAAGACTGGGTGACAGGATTATTCCAATTTAAAAATCCTTTTTAAAATATGACCACGATTTGGCCACTGAATGGGAAACCCTGACTAAGGTTCATAGCTGATAAAGTGACTGTGGTCAAGAGTAAGAAGTAGATATTGTCAATTAAAAAAACATGCATTCAACTTTCAAGTGTTACTTTTTGTGTTTCTATGTTAGAGACTACTACAGTGTATGAATTTTACAAGGACAATGGATACCAAGTTTCAAGAAGCAGAAGGATTTGGGGAAGAAGCTTCAGGTAAATGTCTCATTATCATTATATGTTTGAGAAAATACTGATAATTACCATATTTTTCAGAGTATAAGACACTCCTTCCCCCCCAAAAAGGAGGGTGAAAATTTGGGTACATTTTATACACTGAATACAGCATTTTTGGCCTACCAAAACCCCTCCTCCTTTGCAAAAACGGATGAGCCATTTTTGCTCATTCAGCCCTCAGCCCCCAGGAACACTCTACAAGCCTCCCAAAGCCTCTGCATGCCCTCCCCCCTTTTTTTGCAAAAAACAACCCCAAGGAGCATTCTACAAGCCTCCCAAAGCTCTGCATGTCCCCCCTTTTTTTTGTGCAAAAAACAAGGCATGCAGAGGATTTGGGAGACCTGCAGAGTGCAAAAACTTTTTAAAAAATTTACCTCTTCAAAATCATGGTGTGTCTTATACTCTGGTGCATCTTATAGTCCCTAAAATACGGTACTAGCAATTCTTTTCATTGTGCAGAATAGGAACACTGTTTCTTTTAGGTCAATTATCCAATTTAATCTTAATGCACTGTAGTCAATTAAAATGTACATAACTAATCAACCCGTATGTTGTATGATTTGTATATGAAAGGAAATTATTCCAAAGGAGAAGCTATATGTTCACATTTGCGAGTAACATTGCCTTACTTTTTAAAGATCAAGATGGGTACCTTTTGATTTATAAAAACTTAGAAAAACACATTTCACTTGGTGACCAAATAGTGAAAATAATATTTTAAAACAAAAATATTTATCAACTGACAGTACAGTTGATAGGGATATTCTATTGAAAAATAATGTCATTGAATTCACTGATTCTTATTTATAGGAAAGTGGAAGGTTATGTGGAAGAAATATAGCACCTTAGCTTCTTAAAGAAAAATATTCGTATGCTTAATATAGTCCTCTATATGCTCATTCTGAAGCTTACATTTTATTATGAGTGAATTGAGACATTCTCTAAACTTGGACTTCAACTTAGGTTACATTAATTATTCCTGTATATTGAAAACAGAATTATATTTGTAAATTAGATTATCAATTTTGGGAAAAAAGTTGATTTTCTTTTAGTATCATTAATTTCTGGTTCTTATTTTCATATCTCTTTCAATGAAAGCTGCTGTCAGTTTTAGGGATAAAAATTGAGGAATTGTCCAAGTTGGAGAATGATTCTCATATCACTTTGTTCTGATTTTGTGTCTCTTTGAAAAAACTGGCTAAAAAGAATTATTTTTCATTAATTCACCTAGGAAAGAAGAAGTCAAAGTTTAAATCTATTAAAAAGTTCTTTGGGAAAAGAAAAAGGAAAGAAACATTAACATCTTCAGGAAGTGATAATATCAACACATGTCAGTCCGCAATTGATATCTCAGCCACACCATCTAGGCATATAGATTATGATTCTGAAGATGATCTGCAGTAAGTCACATGTTTGCCTTTTCCTTCTTTGCAAAGCAAGCTGTTGTTGACTGAAAAGCAAGGTTATTTTAAAGGGTTATCCTCCATGTGTACAAATGTTTCCTTTGTTGACTATCTAGGATACTCCTCTGAAGCTGTTGTAAAGACATAATTAAAACAATGTTCTGATATCTATTCATGCTGGAGAGTAACAAGCATTGTTAGAAATAGACATTCTTAGTGATAGTCTCAATGAGAGGGGTGGAATAATAAATGAATGAATGAATAAATAAATAAATATTCTGAATACTCTTGCTGGTGAAGTATATCAAGCACATACTCCATTATCCTGCCAGCAACTTCTTTTTACCATCCCAGTACATGTAGTCCTCAACTTACGCCCACAATTGAGGCAAAAAATTATGTTGCTAAGTGAGAAATTTTTAAGTGACTTTTGCCCCCTTTTATGACTTTTCTTGCCACAGTTGTTGTCAATCACGGCAGTTGTTAAATTAGTAACATGGTTGTTAAGTGAACCTGGCTTCCCCATTGACTTTGCTTGTCAGAAGGTCATAAAAAATGATCCCATGACACTGGGACACTGCAACCGTCATAAACAGGAACCAGTTACCAAGCATCCGAATGTAAATCACATGACCATGGGGATGCTGTATGCTGTCATAAGGGTAAAAATGGTCATAAATCATTTTGAATGGTCACTAAGCAGTTGTAAGTTAAGAACTACCTGTATTATGTGAGAGAATAATATCCTTCCAAAATTCTTCCCTTTTTATGTCTAGGATGGAAGGTTTTTGGTCAGGCAGTCTGCTGTTTGATTTCATGACTTTCTAAACATTTATGCTTCAGAGTCAAAACATCCGAAAGGTGCTTTTTCAAGACATTCAGAGTCAAAACTGAAATGGTGCTGTGGGGCAGGCTCCATAAACAAGTTGCTCCTGATAGTTGTGGACGCCTAGAAAAATGAGTTTGAGTTAAATGGACTCTGATGGCATACACACATCTGCTCTAATCTTGACTGTGCCTCTTTAACTCCAAAGCACAATTTCTTGGATTTGTGTAACTATTTGTAATCCAAGGAAAAGATGCAGTTTCTTTAAGAAAGCACCAAGAGGTGGAAGGGTGTGTATCCATGTCTTACTCCAAAGCACATTTTCAATTTTGGATTTGAAGTGCAGCATAGCTCTATTGTGTGTATGCGTGCTATGTAGTGTTTTCATTACTATTTTAGAATATTTTCAAATTCTATGGTGATTTTCATTTGTAGCAAGCTATACTGGGAAAAGTAAACTTTATGAAGTCGATAAAATAAGTAAATGTTCCAGAATGTTGTCTTATAATGCTTATAATAAGGAATGTTGTGCTCAATAGTGCCATTAGAAGGTGCTATTGTACAAAATCGTAATGGTTTTATCTCCTATTAGTACTACTATTAAAATGACTTTAAAGTCAATGTACAGAAAGGCTACTGTAAAAATTCTGGAAATTTATCTTTATGCAAGATAAAAAGAGCTATGGAAATGATAGTTCAATAAATATGGGAAGCACTAGATTGAAGGAGGATAATATTACTTTGTGATTTTTACTGAACATATTTGTAGCAGATATTAGGAGACCTTCATATTTACAGTTTCTCTTTTTTGTGTTCATTGTATAGCAATAAATAAAGAATAAATATTTAATTTTAAGTTTTAATATTTGGAAGGATAATATAAATTAACATAACTTGTTAAACATTAACAGCAAAAATTTGCAAGATTCTGTTATTATAGCCTATCTCAATAAAATTATTTTTAGCATCTGCATGGAGTTGATTTTTTTGTCTAATCTACCTATGGTAGTTGGCTCACAAGTACTTGGTAGCTACAACTTTAGCTTGGAACTGACTGGACTAAAGTTGTCTGAAGAATTGCAGACACCAGTTGGAAACGTGTTATCTAGAATCCTTTTCAATTCTGTTAATATGTTGGGTATCTCTTATGACTGAACCCCAAATTATTCATTGGCCAATTTATTGGTTAGATTTTTCTAACTGAACTATGAGATTATAATTTGTTCTACCTAGAGAATCTAGATCTCTAGTGGACTTGCTATTCAAAAATAATGTGTGTATGTAAAATCACAAAGACCAAAATATGTCAGATACTGTTATAGGACATCTTTCTTCCGCCGTTCCTTCCTTAGATTCCTACTCAAATTTGCATTGCAAATAGACTTTATTACTTGAAAAGAAAGACCAGGTTTAAATATGTGTTGTTTTATTAGCTTTCTATATTCTCCTAGAATGCACAGAACTATCATGGGAAACAGAGCTTTGTCACATGACAGCATTTTCATTTCTGAGACTCCACAAGAACCACCTAGGCCAGTTCGAGTATTTTCTCAGGAAAATGTTTCTGACCGAATTAGGACTTTGCAGGTAATACTGTTGAAATAATTAATTTAGATGATTTCCAGATTTCTGGTATGTTTGCAGATTTGTGTTTGATTTTGGTATATGCAGTGTGATATTCAACATGTGAATCAACAGACACATTTGCAATAGGGTTTCTCTAAATTAATGATGCAGAGAATTTAGTCATTCAAGGAACTTGAATAACAAGGTGATTTAATGACGGCTAATCTACACTGAAAGCCAAAAGGTACCTTTTGAAAAGGGCAGTAAGGATGTGCTCATTCTGTACATAGTTTCAGAACAAACACCCTGTCCTTCCTTATTAGTAATTAGTGTGAAGAAATGTGAACAGATTATAACTGCTTGTTCATTTTCCTGCTACTAAACTCCCTTAACCTATGCCCAAGGGCAGGATCAACATTGTTTTGTTTATTATTTACAACATAATTTAATAAAAGTGGGTCACAACAATAAGTAAGCATTGTATAAAACCAAACTCTCCTTGTATATAATTAAATAAGATAAAGGGCAAGAGGCTGAATAAAATGACATTATTCACATGCATCGTTCTGCTGGGCACAAAAAGAAAGTGTGCTTGTGATTTTGGGAACAGCAGGTGATTACATCATTTTTTTCTTTTATGAAAGCAAATATATTATTTTAGTAGTATAATAAATGTATTAAAACTGTACTGTAGGTGAAACTCCAGCAAAACTGGAAGATGGGCCTCTCCTATCCATTTGGAACGCCTTCCAAAAAACAAGAAGATGCAGGAATGAGTTCAGAAGATGATGGCTTACCCAGGAGCCCACCAGAAACATATTTGCTACAAGAAATTCTAAATCCCAATACACCAAAGGTAGGATAAATTGGGAAACATGTTTTATAATTATGGATTGTGTTTATCATCTAAATTCATATTGCACTTTGTAGTAATAGTAAATGACAGAAGTTTAATAATAAAGATACTCAAATATTTTTATGCTATAGATAAGATCCTGTTTTTCTAAGGGAAAGGTGTTTTGAAAAATGCATAAACATAAGAATAACTGTAAGAAATTGAATAGCCTAGAACAGGGGTCACCAACCTTTTGGACCTCATGGACCACTAAATTCATAATTTTAAATTCCACAGACCACTAATAGGATTTTTTAAAAAGATAAATAATATTTAGTGCAATATAAAAAATGCAAATGATTTTTCTGCGCACCACCAAATTTTTCTCATGGACCACCAGTGATCCACGGACCACCAGTTGATGACTGCTGGCCTACAATCATGTCAAATGATAGAGGTAATATTTATTGTTGTAGATTTCTCAGAGATCTATTTGATTCCTTCCGGACTGTGATACTGTTCAGAAAGAAAAGCTTCAAAAAGTTTTAAAATGAAGTAAAATGACAGCTGATCTGAAGGCCTTTCCAACTAATCTAATTGTGGAACAAACATGCCTAGGCAACATCTTTTTTCTCTGTGGTTTTTCTCATAATGTTGCCTTTACTTCATTTCCAGTGTATGAGTGAGATAGGCATTACGTTTTCTGAGCTATACCAAAGTTAAAGTAGTGCTTTCTTCCTTCGTTTGACATATCAAAGCTTTAAGGTGAACAACATCTATTAAGCTTTGCTACCCATTATTTTGGAGAAAAATTAGGAGTCTGCAATGGTTGGGAATAGAAACAATGAAGAGGAGAGGGATTAGTTCAAGGATGGATGGAGGACACTTCAGTTCATCAGTTGTGAAAGCCCCTTACTCTGATATTTTCTTTAAGAAAACTGTGTAAATACTAGAAAATATGGTCAGCCTTCTTCTAAAAACAACATCCATTATCATATTTACAGATTTCTCCTAATTTTTAGAGCTCTATTAGAAACATTCTTGTTGCCTGTGTGATGTTGGTATAGTATTGTGTTTGTATATCACAGCATGCTGGCTGCGGAATTCTGGGAGTTGAAGTTTACATAACTTACAGTTTCCAAGTTTGAAAAAATACTAGCATAGTAGGGACTATAGCTTTTATTTATATTTCACATCATTTTGTCATCTATTACTGAAACTTTCTCTCATTCCATCCCACAGTTTTCAGACTCTCACAAGCATCATAGCGCTTTGAGTTTAACTGGAACGGGCAGTGAAGAAGAAGAACAGGTAATTTAATTGCATTTATACTTAACGGCAATGCTGTATATCTCATGGGATGCCTGAATTCTCAGAAAGGTTTCAGGGATGGGGTTGCAACACTTTTCTTAAGAGCTATTAAAGAAGGATATCATTAGCTGCATTACACCTATTGTTATCTATTTTTCTTTCAAACATGGCTAAGGAAGAAATGAATTGGAAACAAATGCTGGCATATTTTATTTGCTAGGCTGGGAGTCACCCAAAAGGAAAGTGTGAGGTTTTTGAACAGTTTCCCCCAGATTGTCTTTAAAAGTTAATTTTGAGCAGGTCCAAAGATTATCTCCAAAGTCTTTTGATTAGCCCTTTTATTCTTCTCTAATTGATCAGCCACATTTCCCCCTTAACAGTCAAAATTGCAACTGCTTTGCTGATGAAGGCTATTGGCTATTCTGTTTGAGGGCATTGTTATTCTTTCCCAAAGCTCTCTTTGACAGAATGCTTGCCTCTTTTCAATCAGTGGCACAGGTAACCAGCAGAGTAGCCTCTGGAAGGAGCCCATTTATTCTCTCATCTGGAGAAGAGCTAATGTGGGAGATAGAAGGGACAATTGGACCACTACAAATGGAGAAGAAAGCAAGTAATACACAAAGAAATCACTACTTTTCTTTCCTAAGTGAACACTTTCTGTGTGTAGATCATGATAAAGAATATTGTAACAATGCTTACCATTCTATTTTAATCAACTGTTTCTACTATCCATTGTTCTGAAATATGAAGCACAGGTCATTGTTTCTTTTGCCAAACCTGGGATTTATTTTAATGATAGGCTGCCAAACAAACACTTTTCAGTTTCCTGAAGGAAGAGAGAAAAGAAGCACAATATCACATGCAACATGGCTATGAAAAGGCTACAACTTTTATTTTCTTAATCTACAATATGACTATTTTTGCTGTAGCAAAATTTTAAATGTAACAATATGTGTCAGCAAATTGCAAATTACTTGCTATTCCCCCAAGTGTTGATGTGCTTGGTACCTGTTTTTCTGACTTTTCCTGTTTTTTTTTGTCTTGTCCCCCATAGTTTAAATAAATAAATAAAATAGGAAAATTAAGTTCTGCTTACAGAAAAAATACAAACAGATATAAACAGACTATGGATAATTTGAAAGCAGTGTTAATTTTAATGATGAAATAAGGGTATGTAACAAAATTTAGGAATTTCCTGTTTTTTGTTTTTTTTAAATTCTTATAGATTTGTGCTTTGATGGTGTTCCCCTTCCCCCTTTGTCTTTAGGTTACAAAAAGTCCTTCAAGATCCTGTTCTACAGAAAGTCAGCTGTTCTCCCATCAGTCAAAAGCTAAAATTATAACCGAACAAACATTTGATAGCAGCTGTTTGCCTACTGCTGATTTTGATATTCTTCCGGAATTATCCTCTTGCTTGGATAATTCTGCGGCTAAGCACAAGCTTTCAATAAAACCACGGAACCAGAGATCTAGTAAAATAAGAAGACTACCTTTGGTAATTGATGAGAGAGGGAGGGAGAGAGGGAGAAGGAAGCATTTGAAAGAGGAAATATTTGTTTTTGAAAAAGGAAATTTGTTTTTCGGCTTGTTATGATGTAACAATATAAAAAAAGCCTCCTCGATGAGCAACAGGGCTGTGCCAAGGATTTAAAAGGGACACTTTGCTAAGCATGTTAGTGATGCTCCCTTCCTCTAAACACAAAAATAATCACATGCTTCAGAAGGCTCAGGCAACAAACTTCAGGGACTGTCCTCAACTATCTGTGCACATGTATGGGGATACACACCTATTCTGATGTGCTGGGTGGTTCCAGTGAAAGTATGATCTAATCATACACGTGCCAACACCTGGGAAGGATGGCCTTTGAAGCAGCCCCACAAATATTTTGAAGGATTGAATGCTTTGACACCTCAAGAAGGGATCCTCTGTGCTGGTGCATTTTGTGAAAAATGCCTTTGTAATGCTTTGCACAGTCCTATTGAATAGGTACACCATGATATACAGGTAGTCCTCAACTTACAACCTTTCATTTAGTGACCATTCAAACTTACAATGATACTAAAAAAGTGACGTGACTGTTTTTCACACTTACCACCATTGCAGCATCCCCATGGCCATGTAATCAAAATTTGGATGCTTGGCAACAAGCTACATTTATGATAATTGCAGTGTCTCAGGGTCATGTTGTCAACGTCAATGGGGAAGCCAGATACACTTAACAATTATTTTACTAACTTAACAACTGCAATGATTTACAGCAGGGATGTCAAACTAGATTTCTTCAAGGGCTGGAAAAGCATTGTGGTTCTCCACAGGCTGGCCAGAAGGCAGGGTGGTGATGCTGGACAGTCTCCTGAAGCACCCTGCCAGCCAAAATGGTTGGCAAAGTGGAAACTGTCCAGACCAAAAACAGGGCACAGGAGGAGATGTGCAGGTCCTCCCCTCTGCCCTATTTTTGCTAGTAGAGGCACCATGAGGTTGTTCTTTGCCATTTCCAGGCCAGCCCCGTGGTTATAAAATAGGGCAAGATTCAGAACTGTCTCACTCAGCAATATGTATTTTTGCTCAATTGTGTTTGTAAGTTGAGGACTACTTATATTACTAGATATGAGCTTTCTTTCTCAGGTGGTCATTAAGTGAGGGAAAGGAAACACTTGAATAGATCTAAAGTTATTTGTACTCTTATGATCCTAAAAAGTTGCTTTATACAAATTCAGATCTCTTGTCCCTGTAAGCCTAATATTGTTGTTACAAGCTTGGTTCACAACTCATACTTAGCTACAGCTTGAATAACCACTGTAGTTGGGTGCACGCAACATACTTATAATAGTGCAAGACTATCTTATAATTATTTACACAGAAAATGAAAATGTATACAGTAGGTAGAGATAAGAATTATAAGGACATGTTGAGAAGTAACATTGAATTCTAATTTATGTGAAGACAAAAAGATGTATCATAGTATACTATTTATTTATTTCAAAAGTCAATTTTTGTCTTTAAATTCAAAATACTACAGACTCCCAATAAAAAATATACTGTAAAAATAACGTTAGTCACAGTTGTAGGCTGAAATTATGCAGTTTTAAAAAAAGCACTATGACAAATGAAGAAACTGAAATAATCAGTTCCTAAACAAATGGAAGTAGCTTTTGAAGCTACTTAAACTGGACAAAGATGTGGCTGTGAGTTCTTGGTGCTGTCTCAGCTTGTTTTTTGCTTGTAGATATTTCATTACCCCCTAAGGTAGTGCTAGAACACCCACTATCATTGATAATATTATCTAGTCAAGTAATGAAACACATGCAAGCAAACAACCAAGCTCAGAGATCACCAAGGATTCCACAATTAAACATGAGCTACAAATAGTCTCTTCTATTGAAAGATACAGCTATTTTAAAGGTTCAGAGGTGCTTCATAGATGTACTTCCAAATCTTTTTTACACAGTCTCAGTATTTAGTTGTTAAAGGTAAAAAGGGAATAAGAAAATAAGAGACTAACAGTATTTCTCTTCCATTTATTGTATAATGGTTTCTAATTAGTAATGGGAAAAAATGGATATATAACTTTAAAAAAAAATCAGTGGAGGGTTGCCTCCTCGATGGTAGGATGGCTTTTCTGAATTATAACAATTTCCAAATGATGACTGTCTTAATCTTTGCAATCAGGCAACAAAATTTGTAGATCTTAATGATTACTGAATTTATGAGTATCCAAAGTTATGGTTCATCTGAATAGTGAAACGCAATGGGAACTGGTTAGAGGGAAATGTAATTGAAATCATAGGTTTAGGTTTAAGTTTAGGTTTTATTTAATTTGTATGCCGCCCTATTCCCGAGAGACTCAGGGCGGCTAACAATCTGAAGGGGAAGGAGGGTACAAAATAAAATAAAAAGACAAAACAATTTAAAAATACAGCAACAGTCATAATCTCGGATGGGGCTTGAAGGTTCAACAGCCCCAGGCCTTCCGGAACAGCCAGGTCTTAGTTGCTTTGCGGAAAGCCGGAAGGGAGGTGGCCTCTCTTATACTGTATATGTTCCTTGCGAATTTCATCACATGCACCACTCACAATTCTATTTTCTCTTGAAAATATTTAATACTGTTGAAGTGAAACAAACCACAAAATTCCACAATTTAGGTTGCCAAAAGTGTTTATTATCAATGATACTTCCATTTTAGGAGTAACTAATCTTTGTAGAAAGTAATGTTGTGATGTAGAAAAAAGATGCAAGCTTTTTTTTTCTTGCAGAAGAAATTATCTGAGTCTCAGAATGACATGATCTGCACCCTTGAGGAAGATGAAAGTGTTGAAAAAGAAGTACTGGTTGAAGAGCTTTACAAAGCTGTGACTTCCAGCCCACAGGAACTGACTAACAATGCAGCTTTGTCCAATATAGTTTTCTCCAAGTTTCAGCCTTTGAGTCACCCAGATGAAAAGACTTACATGTCACACTCCACTTCTCTGATGGAGTCACATTGTTCTGAGGACTCTTCAGATGGCGGTGAATCTATTCAAGGATCAGTACACATTATAAGGCAATCTTCAACTTCTGACCCTAAAGAAAATATTGTTCCACTACATGACAAAGAGCATTGTGAAACTTTAGAGATGTCCCCTAAGAATTTAAGTACTGTGCCCTTAAGTATTTTAGACCAAGAAAATAAACAGATTTCTGGTATTCCATCCAAAAGTGACACAGCAACTACTAAAAATATCCCTGCCAAAAATTATATGACTGCGGAATCAGATGCATCAGAGAAAAAACCATTGAAAGATGCTAAGGAAACTTTGGAAAGTGTTTCCAACAAGGAAGCTACGAAGAGAACATCTTTATTGGCCAATTCTGTCATTTCTTTATCCACAAATCCTTCCCAGCTTCCAAATTTACTCCATTCAGAGAACAGTGGTATTTCTCGGGCTTCATGCAGAAACTCTTCATTGGAAGAGAGAACTTCTTTGATTCAAGGCAAAGTGAAAGCAACTCAAGAGAAACTGGAATCTAATGATGAAGAACGTCTCTCAGCTGTATCTGATAGTATATTGGGAGGTAAAACAGAGAAAGAAACCAATGACCTTAGTGGCTTGAGAAAGTTTTCAGTGTCATCAGCACGGTGGAGATCAAGATCTAACAGCCTGAACACTAAGGAGGCTTCAGAGCATGAAAAGCCTCTTGCCATGCAGGTAAATTTCTCCACAAAGGGTGAAAAGACAAAGAAGGATGTTGAGATGAACTCTTCAAAAGAGAAAAACAGGTGCTTTAATAAACAAAAATCTTCATTAGAATCAGAATCTGATATTCCTGGTCGAGCATTAGACTCAAAGACTTTTGCCTCGCAGCCTTTGGGTTCAAAACCAGTATTGAGCAACTCTTTTGGTAATCTTCTGCAGCTGTCAAATCCAAGCCATTCAAGCTCTGAGAGCCAAAATCCCTTCCAAGTCAAACTTAGGTCCACATCTTTATCGTTAAAATACAGAGACATTGGAAGGGAATCAAAGGAAAGGAAAGGAGATAATGCTGAACTTAATTTAGTAAAAGAAGAGGTGACTTCATCTTCACCGAAAGTTGAAAAAGGAGAAATCAGGAAGACAATAGATGGAAATGTTACTCATTTGTCCAATGACAGCTTTAAAACTAAATTAAAATCCTCTGAACAGGGAAACACAAAACCTCCACTGCCGAGAAAACCTGCTTTGCAACACTCCAGTATTACTAGCCTTAACACAAGCACAGAAAAGCAGGAAAAGATAACCAAATATCCAGAACTTAAAACAGAAAGCAGAAATGTGGAAAAGAAGCAGAATCCCTCTGAAGTGCCTGGTAAGACTTTGGCATATATATATGTGTGTGTGTGTGTATCACTTACTCGGCAAGCCAGGGTTTAGTGCAATAAATGAACTCAGAACTCACTAGATTTTAGATAAATAATATTAAAGATACAAAAGTCTCCCTTACTTTTTCCCTTAGGTGAAAATCTTTTCTGAAAATACAAGGAAATTCTGAACATTTACATCAGATTTTCAAGATTTTTTTAAAAAAAACTATATTAACATCTGCTTTCCAGTATCCTAAAAGTTTGGTACCACTTCTTTTCTTCTTGTTTTACCCCATCCTTGGGATTCTGTAGAATCTTTCCTGAGGATAATGATTTTAAGTAAATTAATTTATTGGAAGTGCTGTTTTCAGTAACATATACTGTATTTCTTCATCACTTTGCAAATTTTTAACTGTATGTACTTACTTATTTTGAAAATTCCTAGGAGGCATTTTTTCAATGTGTTCTATTAGGATTTACCTGAAATTTGGAAAGCAGATGGATAAGGCATCAAAATTATGAAGGGACAAAACTAAATATATACCGAGAGTGCATACACATATCACCAAATGTTATAACCAATGTGCTATATAGTATTTCATTATTTCTATTTGATCCTTCCTCTTTGGGAATGTGATTAATATTCCAGAGAGTTCAACACATTATTTGTTTAGAATTAAACATGACTTAAAGCTGTACCTAGTTAGGAAGGAAACAAACAACACTCATATTCTCAAATAACTGGAATTAAAATACAGAAGGAATTGGCTACATTTGTTAGCCAAGTCTGCTAATAGTAGGAGCTATGTATCAAGCAAATATCTATTGTCTGTTATCAGATATGTTCGTGGGTTATTCTCAAGGACGCTTATGATAAAATGTATAGAAGTACTTTCGGTATGTATGTCTTGGTGAAATATCTACCGTATTTTTTGGAGTATAAGATGCACTGGAGTATAAGACACACAGTGGTGGGATTCAGCCAGTTCGCACCTATTTGGGAGAACCGGTTGTTAACTTTCTAAGCAGTCTGGAGAACCGGTTATTGGAAGAAATCTCCTTTTGTTTTTCCCCCACTTTACAGGGCTAATCCTGTAAGGAAGGCAGGAAGGAAACATTCTGGTGTTGTTTCTAGCCTAATCTTTATTGCCCTGCTTACAGAAACTGCCTCTCCAGTTAACCCTTAGTACATTGTAACAGCTAAAGCGAAGTGCCCATCAACGTGAGTGACATTGAGTTGGCCATGCCCATCCCATCACATGACCACGGAGCCCCGCCTCGCCAGCTGGTCCTTAGGACAGAGAACCGGTTGTTAAATTATTTGAATCCCTTCACTGAAGATGCACCAAGGTTTTGAAGAGGCAAATTTTAAAAAAAGTTGGTAGGTAGATAGAGGGATAGAGAGTGAGGAAAGAGAGAGAAATACAGTAGGTAGGGCGGGGGAGAGAGAGAGTAGCTAGGTAGGTAGGTAGGTAGGTAAGGGATAGAGAGAGAGAGAGAAATAGAGAGAGAGAAATACAGTAGGTAGATAGGGGGAGAGAGAGAGTGTGTAGGTAGGTAGGTAGGTAGAGGGATAGAGAGAGAGAACTAGAAAGATAGAGAGAAATACAGTAGATAGGTAGGGAGAGAGAGAGAATAGGTAGTTTGGTAGGTAGAGGATAGAGAGAGAGAAATAGAGGGAGAGATAAATACAGTAGATAGGTAGGGAGAGAGAGAGAGAGAGAGTAGGTAGGGAGGGAGAGAGAGAGTGGGTGGGTAGGTAGGTAGGTGGGTAGGTAGGTAGGTAGGTAGGTAGGTAGAGGGATAGATAGATAGAGAGAAATACAGTAGGAAGGTAGGGATAGAGAGAGAGTAGGTAGTTTGGTAGATGTTTCCAGGTGTATTTATCCATGTGCTGGATAAGGATATTGCTGATAGAAAGAGAGAGAGAAAGAGAGAAATACAGTAGATAGGTAGGGAGAGGGAGAGAGAGTAGGTAGGTACATAGGTAGATAGAGGGGGAGAGAGGGGGAAATAGAGTAGATAGGTAGAGAGAGAAAGTAGGTAGGGAGAGAGAGAGAGAGAGAGAGAGAGAGTAGGTAGGTAGGTAGATATTTCCAGGTGTATTTATCCATGTGCTGGAGAAGGAAATCGCTGACAATCTGCAGCACCTAAGGCTTTGTTTCTGCTGACACAACATTTGATCAGTGTAATTCTCATCAATCAGTTAAAGAGCTTTCCGAAAGGGGGAAAAAAAGTTTTTGCACTCTGCAAGCCTCCCAAAAACGGGCCCCTATTTTGTCAAAAAAATTAATTGCATAGCCTTATGGGGGCTTATAGAGTGCTGCTGGGGGTTGGGGGGGCAAAAAACAGCCTGTTATTTGCTCATTTCTGCCTTCCCCAGCCCCCAGAAACTCTCTGAAAGCCTCCATAAGGTTATGCATGAGCATTTTGGTGAGGGGGCGGTGCTTCAGGAGACAAAAAATGCTGTATTGGGTGTATAAAACGCACCCAGATTTTCAGCCTCCTTTTTGAGGAGAAAAGGTGCATCTTATACTCCGAAAAATATGGTAGTTATGTCAATTATAATAATCTGTTCCAATAAAAATGTTATGATAATAGGTACATTAGTTTTTTAAGGGTGGGGTCAAAAAGCAGTAGCATCACAATGATTTTTAATTGTATCTGGAGAAATGTAAGATAAAAAATAAGAAGTAAAACATATGTTAAAAGAAGCACAAAATTAGCCATGTGAAATAAAAAGGAGGAGGAAAATGTTTTGAAATTGAGTATTGGCCATCAAAAGTAATTGTAGTTGCAGGATGATGAGAATAAGTAGGGGGGAAAACAATGGACATTATAAATTTCACTGGCTGAATAACAAAGCCTCATTTTGGGAAGATGTCAGTGTGAGGAGAAGTAAAAAAAAGTATTGAAAGGGTACATGACACTGGGTTGATTGATTGGAATAAGCCATGTCTGGTGGCATTGATAAGACTAATTAGTCAAATGTATTTCTTTGAAATATATTTATCAACAGCAAGGTATTTAGCTAAAAGCACGGTTTAAGTTAAGGTTTATGGTTCCCTTTAGCTCAGAAAAGCATGTAAATCCTTTTTAAGGAATCAGATTAGTAGAGTAGGTCTCTTTAACAATATTTGCTGATCATCTCCTTACTCTACCTAACTATTGAACCCTATCTCTGGCTACACAGTTTCTAAATAAAAAACGTTCTCCAATTTTTAACCTGTGATCCAGTAAAGCTTTAGAAGGAATGATGATCTCTACCTAGACATTGAAAGAGAGAGAATGAGTAAGTGAGAATGAGTGAGTGAGTGAGTGAGTGAGTGAGTGAGAGAGAGAGAGAGACAGACAGTCAGACAGACAGACAGACAGACAGATTTTGTGTGATCAAACTGATCACAACTCTTGGTGATCTCATAGATGAAAGTTCTTCAGGATGATCAGCCTTCAACCTTCAGATCTTCCAATGGGGTAACATCACTGCTATAGTTAAGTCCATCAATATTATTGCTGCTGGTTGTCATCTTCTTGTTCCTCATATTCTAGACTACTCACGAGTTATCCCTTCACATAGCCTGTCTAAAGTATACTGATTTGACCCTGGTCATTTGTGCCTCAAGCAAGAACTCTGCATTGGTTTATTCTCTCTCTCTCCCCCCCCCCCCCCTCTCACTCTCTTCCTCATATCATTTTCAACTAGGTTGCTTAGGCATTTACCTAGAGGGATAGAAACCAG